ACACACCCCCACCCCAGAATGCCACATCACTTACCCTTCTCGGATAACATCCATCTTCCCAGGATCACTTGGGCCAAGACCCATCTGTAGACTTTTTAGGGGCTGGAGAGTACAAAAAAACAAATAAATGTTTAATGAGTCATGTCACTCATGTGTACATTACTAAAACCATACAGACCTGAAAGAAAAGTGCAGAAAAGAACGTTTATTGCTTAGAACTCCTCCAACCATTCTCTATCCAGCTACAAGAGGCAATAAGCACAGAAAAAATGAAAACTAATATTCCGTACCAAAAAATTTCTCCTAAAAAAATTTCAGCCGTTTGACCCTGAACCTCCTTGCTAGACACACACACAAACATACAGACACACAACTACATGAAGAGATAGAAAACCGGCAAAAAGAAAAATGGTAAAAAGGGTAAAATTTTATCAATTTCTCAAACTCATACAATGAGATTTCCCCCAACAGTCTACAATGCAGTATTTACCATAGGGAGTGTGAAACAGTGAAGTGAAATGAAATGGTCTGCTAAGGGAGTTATAACAAATTCATATAAAGCTGTTGAATCAGTATATGGATTAAAAACAAAGGCTATTTGTTTATTACATTTATTATAAAGTTGATAAAACCAGAACTTCCCCAAAGTGTCCTGTGTGACTACGAATATGCATGGATCATCACCTTTTCCACTGCACATCCCTAGATGACATCAGAGCTACATTTCTCCCTCTGAGACTCAACATAGACAACACGCTCTACGGAACATTACAGCAACTGCAGCAAACCTGCACTTATCACTACATGGCAATGGACAGAAGAGCGAGAGCCCAGGTGTTGCTGGATCATTAACAACAACAAACAACGACGGCAGCAACATTATAAGGAGGTTGAGAGAGCCTTCCATTGGAGAGAACACAAGACTGTTAGAAACAATCACTCACGGCTTCAGAATCAACCAACGTGGATGTCGTCACTGTCATTTCTACTGTGGCCACATCAGACGTCACCATCTGGGCAGCTTCTTCTTTCCTTCTCTCCTCTTCTTTCGCTTTCTGCTCAGCTTCTGTCAATGTAAAAAAAACTCACATCAGTTCATCGCATCAATACCACTAATTTTAGAATTTAACTAATAATAGTTTAGTGATAAAACATTTCACATCCACACAGCAAAAAGTTTGGCCAAAAAAAAAGAAGACATTATTCACCATCTGTATGCTGCTGATTCGTAACAGTTTTGAAGTCATTGGTACCAGCATGTTTTGTATAGTATAGTATAGTATAAGGTTTTACGGCGCTCGCAACTTTTGTGACTTCATTCTTTTTAAAATAAGGAGAATAACAAGGGGTATCAAATTTAATTTAAAAAAGAAAGTTTCTATACATTGATAGCTACACTGGGGCAAATGAACGTATAAATAGATAAAAAAATAAATAAATGAATGAAGAAATAAATGAATTAATTAATTAAATAATAAAATAAATGTTTTTAAAAATAAATAAATAAGCCCCACTTAAGTCAGACATATTCCAATGTGCATACAACCAACTGTCATTAGTACTGCTAATTCGGTTTACCTTGCTTGCAGTTTGTATTGTTTTGAGTCAGTAAAATATGTCTCAGCCAGCAGTGCAGCTCGGTGTTTAACAAAAATTAGGTACGGCCAATAAATGAGAGTGGTGTCATCGCAAAAAAACCCGTCAGACCAGCGGTCACACAACTCTAAACCTACCCCATTTTGCATCTCGCTGATTGCGGCGGAACAAAAAGTTGAAGAAACTCCAGCTCTGTCCGCTGTTCTTCTTCTTCCCGACCACCTCGTCCTCCCCGGCCATGTTCTCCTCATTGGCCTCCAGGTAGGAGACCTGGGCATTTATCACCGGCGGCCAGTCCTTCATGGCCGTGCGAACGTACGTCCAGCGATGCTTGAGAGGACCGAAGTACCAATACCTGAAATGGACGGAGTTCACAGCTTTTTTTTTTTGAAAGGCAAAATTTTCTACAGCTTTTTAGGTGAAAAACTACAAGGATATTCGTCTACCATGTGTCAAGGAAGGGATGCAACTGTACAAAATCATTTACTAATATAACAGATTAAGTTAGCATAGTCTTACATCCCCTTTCTGAAGCATGTTCATCCTGATAACTAATGTGCAAAAGGAAATTATTCAATAATATGAAAGTTTGCTTGCAAACATTAAAAATTTTAAATAAAACTTTAACACAATACTTCGACTGAAAAAGTATAAGAACCAGTGAACCACACTGAAGCATCTGCCAACCATCCTGAGGTTATAAAAAGGGCAGAACAAGGTTAGAACAAAAATGCTGACAAGTGAGTCCAAGCCTATAACAAATCATAAAAGGCCTCTATTTCAGATGCAGCTGTGTATTTTCTATGGCAACGCTGACTTCTTCAAAAATGACAACTATGATACCACATTACAATAAAGACATCTTCAAATAACTTAAAGAAAATCATCAGCTGCTTTTGAACAAGGGGTCATATAAAATTTCATTTCAGGAACCAAAACAGTGGCTTTTGTAGTTTGTATTCCAGCATTCGCTTGGCTTGAACGTTTCAACACATTGCCGTTCTGAGGCAGGCGTAGGTTTTAAGAGAGTAGTTCTCTGTCAGCATACAGTGTGCCAGGGGTCGTTGATTTAGTGAGAAGAAAGAAGATGAAAAAACTGACAGGACACCATGTCCTGCAAAGAACCTTACTTGCTCTTCCTGTCCTCCGCGTCTCTGTATGCTCCGACCTCCAGACCACACAGCGAGTAGATCGTCTTTCCCTCACCTCCCTGAGACAAGACAAAGAGACAAACCATCCTCAGCTCATAACAGACAACACAAGAAAACCAAATCTTTTCGCTATGTAAAAATTTGCTATTTTTTCATGTTTTAAATACAAAGAATATACATGTACGAAAGAAATTCGACCTTGAAAATCTGTTTGTTATGCGCATGTTTCGCTATGTACGTGTTCATTATATGCATGCTAGACTGTATTATTACAGAAACTGACTATCGGGTGTCAGACATCAAAGTGATTATTTTTCTGAATTTGAAAAATTTTTTCTCTAATGGCATTTGTCACAGACACATAGAGACTAATTGTCACTAGTCTATCAACTCACATCAAACTTGATGACATCCACTTTCTTGGTAACCGCTCTCACCACAGCAATGGCAGCCTCGGCTATCATTCTGTGGAAGAAAGCGACTGTTGTAACCCCTCAAAATCATTATCATCTTTTTACCTAGCAGTGTCTCCATAGAGTTTGTATCTGCTGACTAAATTTCCAGTTTCCTATGGTAGCGTATTTCTCTTGATGCTAAGACTAGGTGTGACAAAGACGAAACAGTAGTTGAGAAAGACAACGTCACAATTTGCAAATAAAAAAGTTATGAGTTTGATTCCTACCTCCATCTGGAAGCATTTCTGCATCTTTTGTTTTAGTAAGAGTTTTACAGTACTTGCAACACAATAAGGTCATATAAGTGCCGAACTGCATCTCTACCAAAAGTATTTTGCCCTATTCTCTAAGTTTAACCATCTACAACAAGGTGTACTTAGCAATCACAAAGGACAAATTATGTGAAAGATGGGGGGGGGAGAATACACTGCTATAAATATGGCTTTGAAAATATCATTTCACTGTTGGCTTCCTGAAGTCATCACTGAGAATGAGACAATGAGAAATATTTAAGCCTCAAATTCGATCTGAATCTAACTCCTTTCTACCAGTTTTCACTTTCTTCACAGAAGTCAACTTTAAATAACAAGAAAACCAACACTTTATCACAGACTGAAATAAAAACTTCTAAGAGACCAACCTGATGAAGTTCTAAGAGTTATTTCAAGGGTACAGTTTCAGTTATGAAAATGACAGGTAGATCTTATCGCATTTTAAGATCTTCCCAACTGAATTTGTGTGGTACCAGGTTCAATAATCAGTAAACACAATTTCTCTGAAACGTCTCTCTTTATTTCTTCATAACATACATATCACTCAGAGGACTAAGAAAATCCCTATAACATGCCAAAATGTCTGACTTACTTGACTTCGTCCAAATCTGGACCAAACAAGATCTTGGAGAATCTGTTTGTCTTGCCCAGAGGAATTACACCCAGTGGAATGTTCTCGCTAAAGTCCTGAGCACAGAGATGAACAAAAAGCAATGTTAGAAAGAAATAAAGCATGTCTGCTGTCAGAATAATCTAACTAGAGATTCACCATCCCTTACAAAATACCTCTGGTTGAAGAAGCAGCTCTAAAGGAAAACAAACTGTGTCTACACCAAGCAGGCAGACCACTGCAACACTAAGTTTTCTAAGAATACTTCAAGCAAAAACCATTCACAAAAACATTGTATATATAATCTACATGTGCATCACTATCACTGTTAAAATCTAATTATTACTTTAAAAACAGCACAAATGAAACCATCCATCAGCACGGTACTTAAATACTCATTCAAGTCCTCCAACATTCAAACTCACCCTGTCCTCCTTTCTTAAGAAGCCAGTTACAGCCTGGAAGAAAACAGAGGAGAAATAAAACTTATAAATGAGAAGAAATCAAACTTAGACCACGAATAAAAGTGCTGTCAAAATTGTCCAAGACTGCCACCCATTGTTGAGGAGAAAAGTGGTAGTCTTAGATGAGTGGACGTCTTGGACAGTAATAATAATAATAAATAGCATTTTGTATAGCGCATATCCCCACTCGAAAGCAAGCTCTATGCGCTTTACACTACATTATTACCCCAGCAGACCATAGAACATTCAGAAACATTCTCAGCTTCCCGGGAAGCATACAGTGCAAGCAGCTGTTTAAGCGCTCAAACACTAACAGTTTCATTATGATATTTTTAAAAATGCAAGGGGGGAGGGGGGGGGGCGAAGTGGCCGATTGTACACTTGATATTCTTGGACAAGAGGCCATTAGAGCAAATTGTACTGTAATAGTATTCTCTCACAGGCAGCAAACAGTAAACTAAGACGGACACAATCTCTACAACAAAAGAGACAACAGGCTAATTGACAGCTTATTTTTTATCACAACATATATTCTAAAGTAAAATGTATATAAGACACATGGTTTTCTTTGAATTTTTAAAAGCTGTTGAAATATGTCACAGAGTATCATACCTCATAGGAGTATACATATCATCACCATCATTCAACTTTTGTAATAAAATGCCAAAATTCTAAATAATGAATAGTGTTATAGAGTTTGACAAGGCATATTGAATTGATAGGTCCTAGGTTCACTGTGCTTCTTTAAAAAGTAACAGAAGATAATGTACTGCATGAAATAAAACAGCTTTTGGTTTTCTTGAAAACCTCAGATTTCTACAAATGACAATGAGGAATGACGGCTCAGATATGACATAAAACTACAGCCCTGAGCATGACACCAACACTCACCTCCAACAAAGTGCCATCTCCACCAGCAACAATAACGGCATCAGTGTCTTCGGTGTCTAGCACTGTCATGAAATTCTTCACCTGGCCTTCGTACTCTGTCTGAAAACATAAAGAACAGTAGAAAGCAGTGAACAGATAGGTTCTTGTATATCAGAGACCCAGATGATAAGAGAACCCTCTACATTGACAAAAAACAGCAAAATAAAAATCTTTAAATTCTTTGTCATATGGACGGGCTCAAACTCAGACGGTTGTTGGGTGGGAAAAATAAAGTATGAGAAATGGAAACAGCAGTGTTGCCATGGCAAAACATTTTAAGTGAAATATAAACTGTTAAACTGGGAATTTGTCTGTGGGAAATACCACCATAATATATCAAGATGATATCCACATTTCATTTATTTAATAGCTACACTGGGTGGTCCTCTTGACTGTGACGACTCACAATGCACTAGAAGAATATCAGTGAATTTTAAATCTTTCTCCTCTTTAAACTTCAACAAACTTATACAAATCATATCCACATACATAAGTGTTCAGTTTTTATTCAAACAAATATGAATACTTTTTCACTCACAAGCATATTGTGACGATTCGCTGTAAAGACAAAACGCTTTCAATTTGTAAAACTTCATAAAACTATTTATAGTACCAACACAAAGCAAGAAAACCGCGATTTATAAACAAGCGTAGGACAAAGTTAACTTACAGCAACAACATTGACTTCAATTCCAGCCACATACAATATTGGAGCAGCAGTCTTCTCAAACAGCTTTCTTGCTTTCCTGCAAGGAAATTCAAAAGGTATTTTCTAATACAGCAATTAAATACATATTATGCATGAACATATAACATTAGAAAAATAAATTTTTAATTTAATACTTCTACAATGGCCTTTTGTTTTTGTTTTTTCAAATAAACAGTTAATCCACTACATTCTCAAGACATAAAAAGGTCGACAAATTAGTAAATTATTTACAAGAGCATCAATCGTTTGATCAACAAATGAACTTTCAGACATTTTTTCAATGAGCAGGGTGACAAGATCTTAGTTTCTTGTTTGTCAAAGCTAATTATAGTCATCATCCTCACAATAATGGAACTAAAATTAGTACCACTGATGACCCAACAGTTGGACTGCAAAGAGTAGTCTTCCAAAGGAATATTACACCCAAAAATTATAAGAAACTTGACTAACAAACCTTTTAAACATAACAGAGTCAACCGTTTCAAAAACACCAGGCTTACCCTTCTCGTGCAGCAGGATTCAGGAAAACGGTCACCCGCCGAGGACGGTGGCCTAGCTCAATTTTTTCATGTCCGTATTTCTGAGGGAGGTACAAATGCTATTAACTCTTTGAAGACAATGCAGACACCTACGTCCGATCAACAGCAAAGCCAAAGGCAATGTTGTGGTAAAATTTGAACCATCATGCTAAATTCAAAACTCGAATGTGCATTTTTTTTTTCCGCATGCGCGTTGTTCCTTGCCATTTAAAAACAAAACAGAAATCTGTGTAAATACCAAAGGTATGCTTATTTTCTAAATGCCCCAAATTAGCACGCCTTCAAGCCTTGTCAAATGACCAGAAAGAGCGTCCTCAATGAGTTAAAGAAAAACTATCAAAGACAACAAAACTATCTTAAAGCAGCAAAGAAGATCATTGTTGAAAGCAAAACATTCATTAAATTCTGACAAAATAAGACACATTTGTTAAAAATACACACGTTTTATATATTTTTAAAAACCACAACAGAGGTATAAAATAGCATTCGTATGAGGTTTGTTAGTGTCTGTGTTTTCTGTAAATGTGTGTGTGTGTGTGTGTGTGTGTGTGTGTGTGTGTGTGTGAGTGTTCAGTATCAGAGTTAACGAAAATGTGAACCATGCAGAAGGAAACTTCTTTTAATGGAGATAAATTAATTCTACAGAGGTACATATTATTACTTTCCCATAAAATAGACAGAGAGCCTTAAGTTGGGTAACATATTTAAGCTAGGAATGATTAACTATATCAGCAAATATTTAAAACACAAAAAAGGAAAGGCATAGATAGACTTTCCATTTAATACTCAGCTTACTCTGGCTTCATCACAGTACTCTCTCCGCAACAAGTTGTCACTGGGGAAATAATTTTTTTTAAAACATTTCTCAAAATAAAGTCTCTAAAGTAACATCATTTTGAACAATACAATATTCACATTTTTTCAGGACAAAGAACATAAAGCACAACTAAAAAGGCAAACAATGTTGATTTTGCCTCTATAGATTCTAGATCTATAATTGTAAAATAAAGAATCAACCAAGCATTGTGGCATTGGAGCTTTTAATTGTAGCCTAAATGTCATCAACGTGGGCAAAAACTATACACTATATATATAGAGACATAGACTAAAATACTGCTACCCAAAAAAACTTAGCCAGGTAACTAAAATCTGAAAACTAGTGCTACAGTAGTTAGTTAGTTTAGAAGTTATCTAGATTTCGGCGCTTTTTCGGTGGTTCCCACCTCGCAATTCTTATTCGTCGA